CAAGAAAATCTGTTAAATCCTCAAGGGGAGAGTTTTCTCATCAATATACATCCCTTGCTTGTAATGCAACTAAGATAAAGTAAATCTGAGACATTTAGTTTTATTAGAGTTCAACAGTAAGTTATTATTGCAAACCAGTCTGAAACATCTAGTATTGTATTTGGTTGCTAAAATGTTTGATCGTTCCTTTCGATTGAACATTACATTTTATTCCGATCGTGTTACAAACATGTGCTCCAGAGTTGGCGCCGGTTTTAACGCATCTTTTCCGGCACTCCTATACTTTAGGCGTAGTCCCGAAATCATGGAAGGCCACGTCCAATTATAGGCCTATACCCATCACCAAATTGTTCTCCAAGATAATGGAGTCTGTTATCAACGACCAGCTCCTGCAGTACCTAGAGGAGCACCGGCTGATTACCGACCGCCAGTATGGCTTTCATCGGGGTCGCTCAGCCGGTGATCTTCTGGTTTACCTTACACATCGATGGGCAGAAGCAGTTGAGAGCAAGGGGGAGGCGCTTGCAGCCAGTCTGGACATAGCAAAGGCCTTTGATCGGGTATGGCACAAAGCGCTTCTATCGAAGCTACCTTCTTATGGGCTTCTCGAGAAATTATGCAATTGGATCACCAGCTTTTTGGCATCATTTCGGAGCATCAAGGTCGTCGACAGTGCATGCTCCGATCCTAAATTTGTCAATGCTGGCCAAAAGGCTGCGTACTGTCTCCTACTCTGTTTCTATTCACTATCTGCCACAGCTAGTATCGTTTCTATTCACTATCTGCCACAGCTAGTATCGGAATGCTCGGCGTCGAAATCTCGAGCAACGTCTAGTTCTGCGGTCAATTGGAAGGTAAGGTCAAATTGGCAAAATGTTAAGATATATATAATTGGTATAGAATTCTAACCAATTCTATTAAATGAAACTGGTTTAAGGATTTTATCGCGTTTTTTATTTTGATTTCAACTCCCGACGTTTCGAACCCTTTCGAAGCTGGAAAATCCGTAAACTAGTTTCATTTAATATGTATAATATTCGCGTAAAATCAAGAAGACAATATGTAACCAATTATATCAACATCGAATGAAACGACAATCTGATCGATGTCGAACGGCTTTTAGCTTTCTCGTATATACCAAGACGGTACATTCTGTTACCATTTCTACCTTTAATCAGACGCGATTTTCTAAGATGTACGACGAAACAGGGTGATTGCAATATTGTACTACTTCTTATTAATTCGCGTAATCTGACAAACCAAACTACTTTTTAGAGATTTCCATCTAGTTTAGTAAGACATTGAAATTGTTACAGATTTACTCAAAAATGTAAGTGAAAATAAAACACTTAAATGGAACTACCCTACTCTTCTATGAAATCAGACCGCTAATGAAAATTAAAATAGTAGTAATTAATGGAATTGAGAGAGCTTTTCGTTTACACGTGACTTTGTATAAAGAGCCGACCATTACTATTAAGATGGCATCTTAAACATGGTCATACAGAGCATAAAAACACTATAGGCCGTCACAAGCTAAACCTAAAATCAATGAGTGGGATATTGTCATGTACTTACTGATTCGTTATAAACATTAAAAATGGTATTGTAATTATAAACTAGAAGAAACAAAAGATGTCTTACCTCGCGTCTTGTGCACTTTATCACAATCTTTGGTCGGCGTCAAAACGAAAATATTACGTAATGTTAGGTAACTCTTCAAATCGTCCTCGAATATTTTTTTGTATTCTTTCACAGCACTGATGTTATTATCGTAGAATGTCTATTTGCACTGAACGTTGTTATTTCTTATGTTGCATTTGTTCGAGATTTTAGAGGATAAATGAAAATAAAATGGCGATGTTTCTCGTGTTGGGGTTAGATAGTCGGGGGATGGTCTGAGCGCGCATGCGTCGTAGCACCCCAATGGTTATTTTTTTCGTTCTAAAATGTTATCAGGGCTGAGAAACGTCATTTTTTTTCATCGTCGTTTATGTTTTTCTTGTCTTTTATGTTTCAATTATTATATCGTGTAGGAAAATTATTTTTTCCTTTATAACGCGAAATGATTTTACCTTTAACTAAGATTGCGAGAATTTATTAATTATAACATATGAATGAATAAATGTATTTTACTAAGTAATTTTTACTAAGCTCTTAGTACTTTATGATAGTTCGTAACATAGTTAATGGGTTTTTACTCAGTGTATAAGGCAATTTGTTTAATATGCCCATGTAGTCTCCCGTGTGTGGTTTATTAAAACGTTATTTGTTCTAGTCATGTAGTTTAAAATGACGGTTATATATTTATAAAGACAATTTTAAATAAAGGATTTCCGCGGTTAATCGGAAACTAAAAGAGTTATGAATAATTATTGACTCCCATTTTTGGTCCTTTAATTTCATAAACAAATAATTACTTTAACTAACCAGATTAACTATATTTATAAACTCAATTTAAAATATTGAAAATGTATTAAATTCTGACATCAATTACATGTTTCGTTAATACTCGAAAAATGTCATTATCAATGCGAAAAGTAGAATTCAACTACCCTACCCATAGCGGAGGGTCCAAACCCGTGGGTTCTGGCTATTATCAATGCGAAAGCAAAAACATCAGTTAATACAAGATACAGAATTCAACTTATTTACACATAATACACAAAAACAGTTTTTATTCTTATAAAATTTAAGGAGCTTGAAATTTTCTTCTTTATGCATGCACTTTGATAGAACCCGCCTTCCCCTAAGATTTTATGGATTCATGTCCCGTTCCGAAACTAGCAGATTGTGTCTTTACAAAGGTTGACGTGCAATATTTATCGCGGAGTACTATAATAAAGCTTTATCTATTCATATTCTATATAATCAAGTTTTTCACAATCGATAAGGGCTTTGATTATAATAATTTTTAAGATTTAAGACTTTCTTAAAATGCTAAAGAAAAGAGGGACTACGCAATAGTCCTCGCTGTTGCAGGAATGGGCAAGTCCGTCGGGGAAAGTACCACGACCTCACAGAATACCGGCGTGAATTGGAAGTATCATACTTCTGCGTTTCGTCTGATGAGTGAGGTAGCCAGGGCTCACTTTGTCAAAAGGCGGCAATGCATCTGCAACCCTACGGGTGTTGCAATGTCAATGGGCGGCGGTTATCACTTAACATCGGGTGAACCGTCAGCACGTTTGCTACCTTTTCATTAAAAAAAAAATAGGGATAAGGAGCATATTTACATGCATTCGTCATCAGCATCTTGATGTCCTTATCCCACATAGGCGGGGTCGGCACAATACATGTTATTAGCGGTTCTGGCTAGGTTTTTACGACCAGCCGCCGGCCTGACGTCAACCCTCCCCAACAAACACCCAGATCCGGAACAGTTACTGTGATTCACACAAATACTTGTCCCATGTGGGAATCGAACCCACGACCCCCTAAGCCGAAGCCAATAGCTTAGCCACGACGACACCGAGTCATCATATATATATATATATTTATATAATTATATTTAATAATTCAGCAGTGTAATTATTCTCGCCTTTTTAGTGTAACATCTTGAAATATATTTTTTTGGCTTTTTTATATTTTCTTTATCTTATGGTTACAAGAGTGATGGCTTAAAAAAATTGTATAGATGAGAATGTTTTTATTTATTTAACGAGGGTTGGGTAGAAAATGAAAAACACCACAAAGAAAACTACACGAGTAAAATTTGTATTTCACATTTCGGAAATATTCTCTTTTTAATGCACAATATATAGTAGTCTTTAATAAAATATAAACTATGCTATAGTTTGCAATAACACTCAAAAATACATTGTTCTTAACGTTACGTAGATCTCTATGACGTAATTAATGTAACATTTAATCAATTATTAATTCAATTAAATTCCGTTACAACTGCACTGCTTAAACTGAACCCTTCTATATCACTACGTTTTACCCTAACTATACTCGGTATCCTGTGGATTCCTGCAAAACAAAAGAAAACGTTAGAACAAGAATGCTAGTACATCAAAGCAACCTTCACGTATTTCAACCTTAACCGAGAAATTTTTATAGTGCTAATCTCTGCACTCAAGATTGAACATTAAAATTTGTAGAAAAAGTACGAAAAGGTTGTCGCCGCTGTGGGAATCGAACCCACGTCTTCGGCATCCGCGGCCTGACGCTTTAGCCACTAAGCTAAACGGCTGACTGGCACACCGACGAAAACCTTAACGTCTTTTATCTACATTGTTTTTTTTTTAGCATTTTCTTAACTGGGTAGTCTGAAACTGCCAGTGCACCTTTTGCCAAGCTTGTTAGTCCCAAATGTTGCAGACGACAGACTTATCGTCGTATCGACTATAGTTAAGCTAGGACTGAGCTATTACGAGCCGTGATAGCTCAGTGTCCGGGCGCTCGCTATCAATTCAATATAATCGAGCAACCGGAATTCGAATCCATATGCACCAATCAAATTGTTAATTTCAAGTGCTGACTTATCATGTGAAGGAAAACATCGTGAGGAAAACTGCTTGTTTACGGCATAATAAAAAAAAATCTTAGATTTATTAAGTTGAACTATGGTAAGAGCACGCGGTAGCTTCGGCTGTTGCACGAATGGGAAGGTACCACGACCTCAAAGAAGAAGAGTTTAAAATAGAAGTGTTATACTTTTGCGTTTCGTCTGGTGAGTGAGGTAGCCGGAGCCCACTTTATTATGGGTGGCACCGCGTATGCTACGCTACGGGAGTCGGAAATGTCCATGGGTGGCGGTTATCACTTAACATCAGATGAACCGCTAGCTCGCTTCACCTTCTCACATAAAAAAGATCCTTCTGGAAGATCTCTTAATATCCCCACGCAAAATATTACGAGAAGCCAGAAAGATAAAGGATGATATCGTATCAATTGCTGCGATTTAATCCTAGAATTCTACGGTCTATCGAACCTCACAAAGTCATCGCTCTAATCAGACTGCGGCATATTACCTTACTTAGCACCTTTAATTATTTGGTCATCCCCTGCTTCGCCCGCCGCTCCCACTCCGCCCTCATCTGCAGAATCCCCTTGAACTGGGGCGAGGCGTCCGCCTCCCCCTCCGACTTCCTCTCCTTCTCCGCCCCTCCCTTCTCTCCCTCCCCCCGCGCCGCGTCCGTCTCCTCCCGCTTCTCCTTCTCCTTCTCCAGTCTGAAGTCCTCCTTCCGCTGCCAGGGGCGCTTGGTGAGCGTGTCCGCCCTGTACCCCGGCATGGCGTCTCCTTTCGCCATCTCCCTGTCGTTCGAAGGGTCGGGGAAGGTGCGGTTCCTCAGTCTCTTCTCCGGAGTGGAGTCCGAGACCTCCTTCTTGTATCTGTTCACCTCTCCCCTGCAGGGGGCGCTGTCCCGCTTGGCGCTGGCCACGCTGTGCACACTGGCGCTGCGCTGGTACTGGCTGACCCTGGCCGCTATGTCGACGACGAGGTTGTCTGCAGGCTTCACCTCGTTCTCTTTGTCACTGTCCCTAGATTTGATCGACGCGTTGAACTCGTTTTTGAGCACTTTGCTCTTCGACCCGTCGGTCTTCTCAGCGTCAGCTATCTCCCTCGCCAGGCTATCCGCCTCCGTGTCCTTGATCTTGAGCGAGCGCCGCGCGAAGACCTTCATCAGCTCGGGCTCGTCGTCCCTCTTCCTGTCGCCGCGGATCTCTTTGCCGATGGTCGGCTTCTTCCTGTACACCACCTCCTCCTGTCGGTCCGAGGTTCGGTTCTCGGTGCTGTCGCTGCTCTGTATCGAGCTCTTGCTGCCGTAGCTGGAGTGCGATTTGCGGTCTATCGATATGTTGTCGTAGATCTTCTCGGTGCTGCCCTCGGTGCTGAGCGAGTTGGTGCGCGGCTTCTCCGGCCGGTCCTGGAGCTCCACGCTGGTGGACTTCCTCTTGAAGAACTCCCTCGGCGTGGAGGGACTGCGCGGGGTTTGGCAGCCCTGCGCAGATTTGGACGTGAAAGAGGCGACCTTCTCTTCAATCGTATTGTTCTCGACGCACTCGGCGGTTTTCGTGTTGTCTTTAGCTATTGGCAAGCTGGCTATCTTGGTTTCTGTCACTGGTAGTATTTCGATTTCGCTCTCCCTCTCCTGTTGCGGACTGTCCCTTTTCGGGGTGACGTTCGCGGTCAGCACCACGTTGGTGGCGGGTTTCGCGTCGACCTTGTTCAGCTGTATGTTGAGGAACTCTGGCACACCGGGCGCTTTGCTTGCACCCGACTTTTGGAGTCTCTCATCACTCTTGCTGACCTTCGAAGCCTCGATGTTCTTCACCGCTACAGGCGTGAGCTCTCTGTTCACGTGAGTGACCGACACGAAGTTTTCCTCCTGTCTGTTGTCCTTTGGCGCTGGTTTGTTGGAGCTCGCAGCGCTCTCGACGGATATGGTCTTCCTCCTGTCGTCTGCGTTCTTCCCCGGGCTGCCTTTGACGCTGTCCAACGAGCTCGACTTGATTATGGGCGCGACTATCGGCTTCGGAGAGCCGATGATGTCGTCGATCTTGGCCTCGATCTGGGATATGTCGCTGTCGCGCTTATTCCCGTCCATCGTGACGTGGATGCTGGTGAAGAGTTTCCTATCTTCCTCCACCTTCAGGCTGTCGAGGTAGCTGCTGTCGGTGCTCAAAAGGCTGTCGTAGTTCGCCTCCTGGTTCGCTTGGATGTTGTAGTTTCGGGCGGAAACGCGTTTGCTGTAGTCTCTCTCGGTCACGTTCCGCCTGTAGTTCACCTCCCAGCTTTCTAACAGCGGCTCCGATATGCCGACAATCGCTGGCAAGCTCGGCATCTGGTTCTCCTGGGAGCTGATCGAGGTGCTCTCCGACGCGTAGCGGAAGCTGTGCGATTTCCCTATGCCGCCCCTAGCCTCCACGTACTCGTCGCCCAGGGACCTCAGGCCGAAGGGCGGGGTCCCCGTCGGGGTCCCTTCCGCGTGCGAAGCGCGGAAACTCTCCCGGCTCTCCTTCCTGTCCCGGTACTCTTGCTCCGAGCGGCTCGCTTTCACGTTGTCGCTCGACTGGCTTATCTTCGGGGGCGAGACTATCACGCTCGGGTTGAAGTAGAGGTTCTTGGGCATGCTGCCGCTGTGGAAACCGTACTCTGGCGTTGGTTTGCGCACCGCCCTGATTGGAACCTCATTGGGTGCTTCGAGCGCTGGGGCCTGCTCGCCCTGTAGCTGACTTATTTCGTTACTGATGAACGCTTTCGTGGGGAAAGGGTCCATCAAACGCTGGACTGAGGCCGGTCTCTTGTTTCTGTCCAGGTGCAGATTGAAGGACTCCCGTTTGCTGTCCACCGCGTCTTTGGAGGTCGAGCGCCTCTTCTCCACTCTCTCTATCTCTTCGCGTCTGCTGTACCTGCTCTTCATTTCTAGATTGAGCATCACGTCGGTCTCCTCGGCGATTTTGAGATCGGTTATGCTGTATTCCATTCCGGGCACTTTGGCAGCGCTGTAGACATCTTTGTAAGCGCTGTCTTGCACGTAAGCGCCTTGCTTGTCTATTCGCTTGTGGAGTTGGTTGGCGAAGGCCTTCTGGCCGGCTGTTTTGTGGGTCCTCTCCGCTGGGACCGGCCTGTACGCCTGAGCTTGGTCGGGACAGTCGCTCCTTTCAACTTCGACAGTTTTGTACTGCGGCTTGTCCGTTTTCGTTTTCTTCACGTCCTGCCCGTCGCCTTCTGTTTGTTCTTTCTTCGACTTTCTTCCCGCTCTTCCTTAAGAGGAGCCTGCTGAAGAACGACTCCTCCTTCTTCGATTTGATCACTTCGTTCTCTATCTTCTTCTCCGATTTGGACTTCTTCTCGAGGCAAGTTTCGTCGGCGTGTTTCTTGTCGATGCGGTATTTGGCCATTCGCTCTTCGGAGTGGTACGTGTGGATTTGAGTTTCTGCGGTGCCGCTTTGTATCTTCGGCGAGCTCTCCCTCAGAGGCTGGTCTTGGGTGCTGGATTTGCTCCTCTTGATGGAAGAGCGTGGGGTGTTGGACTCGGCGATGCTGAGCTTGGCCGGCGATTGGACGACTTGGCCCAAAGCTAATCCCGGCGGGAGCGAGGATGACTTCATCTTGGTGTCACTCGGTGGCTCCAGGACTCTTTGCAGTTCGCGGTTGAGCTGCAGGTGTTGCTCCTTCGCGTAAATCTGGTGCTTCGTAGTGGTCGATGAAGAGAATGATTCTGAAAACGAAATTAGGAACGATTAAACACCAATGTAAGCTGACGCCCACACTCAGAAAGCCAGGTAGAGATCAAGAATATTTTCTTTGTGTTAACACGTCTCTTTCCTTTTCCGATAAATGTTTATAAATTTAAATATATATATATCAAGTAATATATATATATATATATATATATATGTAAACCTTTTTGTTTATATATTTGTAGGCAACTTCCAATTTAATTTTAAATTTATTTAAATTGTTATTTAATTTGTAGTGTTTTTAATTATTAATATTGATTTGTAATTATTCTAAATTCACCATAACAATTGTTTAATGTCACATTTATAATTAGCCGAGTAAAGCCAAATGCTTTGATATAGCTTAGTATAATCGTTTTTTGATGCAGACTGTACGGAACTATGTATTAACAACGCGTTATGTACTTCGGGCCGGCTGCTCATTACGCTGCGCTCGCGCCGGCAGTCGGTTCCATAGTCCCACGGCGAAAGCACGTCCGATTTCACAAGATTTCTACTCGTGTATTTGTTAATTTGTTATCCATTAAATGTATATGTGTGAGCGATCTATCGAGTATACCGTTCTTAGTAAATTCTCGAATTATTATTTACCATCCCGGTAGGAAACTCCCACATAATTGGTGACCCCGACGAAGAACAATGTCGAGCGATAAGAAATTAACGGCGCAAGCGTTACCCGGCGAACATTCCAGAAAGATCGCGAGCCGTACAGCTGCGAATGTATTGGTCGATGAAGGTAGCGTGTGCAAAGTTGGCATAAAAATGCCGCCATTTTGGCCAGAAGAGCCGGCATTATGGTTCGCCCAAATTGAGGGCCAATTTGCGATTAGTGGCATAACAGCTGATGCAACAAAATTTTACCACGTGATTGCTCAACTGGATCACCTTTACGCTACTGAGGTCAAGGATATAATTACATCCCCACCACCGGAGAACAAATACGGGAAGTTAAAGGCCGAGCTAATCAAGAGACTTTCTGCTTCACAGGAAAAAAAATTAAAACAACTTCTTATGCACGAAGAACTCGGAGACCGTAAGCCATCCCAATTTTTGAGACATTTACAGACGCTAGCAGGACCGACGATACCCGACAGTTTTTTGCGTACGCTGTGGTCTAGCCGTTTTACCGCAGAATATCCAAACGGTAATTGCTTCGCAACCTGATATGCCACTTGAAGTTATCGGAGATTTCGCGGACAAAGTAAATTAAATCGCACCGACGACGCACGTGTCGGCGAGCGGTAGTTACGACGGGCCATGTTTAGCGAGATGGCCCACCAGATTGCGGCATTGACACGGGAGGTAGCCTCACTAAAAATGCAGGTACATTCTTCTAGAAATTACAGTAGGTCAAGTTCGCACGAGAGGAATAGGAGACCTAGTCGCAATAGATCTAAATCTAGGCAACGCAATCCGAATATATGCTGGTACCATAGCCGTTTCGGCAACCGTGCAACCAAATGCACAATACCGTGTAATTTACGGAAACGTCGGAAAACGCCACGGGCAGCCGGAACTAGCGGCGAACGACTGCCCTCACAGACCAGCCCGCTTATTTATTACTGATTGTTATACTAAAATGTCTTTTCTTGTTGACACAGGATCTGATCTTTGCGTTTACCCACGGTCCGCAGTGAAACAGAACCGCGCAAAGATGGAGTACCAGCTGTTTGCAGCAAATGGAACCTCAATTGCAACGTACGGGTACATCCACTTTGCAGCTCAACTTTGGTTTGCGCCGTGCTTTTAACTGGAGATTTGTTGTCGCTGACGTGTCAAAAGCAATAATTGGTGCTGATTTTCTCAAATTTTATAACTTACTTGTAGATTTGAGGAACTACCGCTTGATCGACGGCCTGACAAACCTGTCTACAGTAGCAACATCTGCGGCCCACTCAGTAGACATTGCATCAATCAAGGCTGTGTCTGGGGATACCGTGTACCATCAACTTCTCCGTGAGTATCCTGATATTACACGACCTGCTGGAACTCAACACGTAATCAAGCATACAACGGTGCACTACATCCGTACAACACCTGGTCCACCTGTGACAAGTCGTCCAAGACGTTTACCACCTGACCGACTAAAAATTGCTATGAAGGAGTTTTGAGGAAATGCTCGCTAATGGCACTGCTCGCAGATCTGAAAGCGCGTGGTCATCAGCTCTTCATCTCGCGCCCAAAAAAGACAATGGTTGGAGACCATGTGGGGACTACCGTGCTCTTAATGCTCGTACCATCCCGGATAAGTATCCAATCCGCCATATCCAGGATTTCTCACATGCTTTAACAGGTACCACCATTTACTCAAGATCGATTTAATCAAAGCGTTTAATCAAATACCAGTCCATCCTGATGATATACCCAAAACTGCTATTACTACACCATTTGGGGACTATTTGAATTCAAGTTTATGAATTTTGGATTGCGCAACGCCGCGCAAACCTTCCAGAGATTCATAGATGAAATGCTCATGGGCCTACCATTTGCTTATGGATTCTTAGATGACATCTTGATTTTCTCCAGGAGTGAATCTGAGCACATCCAGCATCTCAGGCAGCTTTTTCAACGTTTGGCAGACCACGGCATGCTTGTCAATACAGCGAAATGTGAATTTGGTAAGACACACATAACCTTTCTTGGTCATGACGTATCAGCTGATGGCATTCGCCCTCGTCCAGACAAAGTACAGGCGATACAAGACTACCCGTCCCAAAAACTGTGCGAGAAATGCGGAGATTCTTGGGTATGTACAACTTTTACCGCCGTTTCATACCCGGAGCAGCAGAACTACAAGCTCCACTAAACGTCGTGCTAACTGGATCTAAGACAAAGGCATCGCAAAGTATAGTTATGACTCCAGAAATGTTAAATGCGTTTATCAGTTGCAAGTCCAGTCTCTCAACAGCTACTATGCTCTGTCATCCTGATCCAGACGCCGAACTGGCTGTTTTCACCGATGCATCAGATACATCTATCGGTGCAGCCCTCCAACAACGATGTGGTAAAGTATGGAAACCTCTCGCATTCTTCTCTAGACGCCTAACTTCTGCACAGAAGAAATACAGTCCGTACGACCGTGAACTTCTAGCCATCTACGACGCTATTAGGCACTTTAGGCATATGGTCGAGGCTAGACCATTTAAAGTTTTTTACCGATCACAAACCACTGACGTTTGTTTTTTTTTCATAACCGTGAGAAAATGCTCTCCTAGGCAATTTCGTTACCTGGACTTCATATCTCAGTTCACCACAGATATTCGGTACATTAAAGGCCAGGACAATGTAGTTGCAGATGCTCTCTCGCGTATAGAGGAATTGTCCAAGCCGATAGATTATCAAGCCCTTGCAGACGCTCAAGATCACGATCCTGAACTGCAAGAGCTATTGGAAAAAGGAACATCTTTGACGCTCAGAAAAGTCAAGACTTCAGATTCCGACACGGACATATTCTGCGATGTGTCTACTTCAATCCCTCGCCCATTTATCACAACCGCCTTCAGAAAATCAATTTTCAACGCACTTCATGGGTTTGAGCCATCCAGGTGCAAAGGCCACTATAAAACTAGTGACGGAGAGATTTATCTGGCCTGGAGCAAAGAAAGATTGCCGACAATGGGCCAGAGAATGCACAGACTGCCAGAAAAGTAAAGTTTACCGCCATACCCAATCACCCACCTCTCCTTTCCCTATTCCCTCACAAAGATTCTCCCATATCCACATGGACATATAGGACCGTTACCTATTTCTTGTAGTTTCAGATACTGCCTCACGGTCATCGATCGCTTCACTCGTTGGCCTGAGGCATACCCCATAGCCGACATCACTGCAGAGACCTGTGCGCGCGCCTTCATCTCTGGCTGGGTTTTCCCGCTTCGGCTGTCCCTCACAAGATAACCACCGATAGAGGCAGGCAGTTTGAGTGCGAGCTGTTGCTCCGCACTATGTCTGGCATCCTGGGCGTACAGCATCGTCATACTACTACCGCCTACCATCCGGCTTCCAAATGGCATGGTAGAAAACTCTCCACCGTCTCCACCGCCAAATGAAAGCCAGCCATCATGTGCCATAGGAACACCGGTTGGACGGAAGTTCTTCCCCTGGTACTGCTGGGTATCCGCAGCGCCTTCAAAGACGACATCAAGGCTTCGGGCGCAGAGCTGGTATAAAACGGTGATCCACTCCGACTCCCGGGTGAGTTCTTCGCACCCAACACTGATACCATACCTGATCTCACAAGTGTCATGTCACGCCTCCGTCGACACATGGCCAAGCGGGCCCCAGAACCTGCAAGTCGACATACTCAGAAAAAACCTTCTACGTGCCTAAAGACCTGTCTACTGCAGAGTAATGTATTCCTTCGCAACGACGCTGTACGGCGTTCTCTCGAACCTCCGTACAGCGGGCCCTATAAGGTACTGGAAAGAGGCGACAAAACTTACAAGCTGAGTATCAACGAGCGTGAGACGACTGTATCCATCGACCGTCTAAAAGCAGCGTACATGGCACGAGACGACACCAGTCCCACACCTGCAGACACCACTGCACCAACGGCAGCCACAGACCCAACTAGGAAGAAGAGATCTGGTCGCATAGTTCGCTTCCCGGACTACTATCGACCTTAGCTAGCTTCGGTCTCAGCGGGGGAGTAGTGTAGGCAACTTCCAATTTAATTTTAAATTTATTTAAATTGTTATTTAATTTGTAGTGTTTTTTTTAATTATTAATATTGATTTGTAATTATTCTAAATTCACCATAACAATTGTTTAATGTCACATTTATAATTAGCCGAGTAAAGCCAAATGCTTTGATATAGCTTAGTATAATCGTTTTGATGCAGACTGTACGGAACTATGTATTAACAACGCGTTATGTACTTCGGGCCGGCTGCTCATTACGCTGCGCTCGCGCCGGCAGTCGGTTCCATAGTCCCACGGCGAAAGCACGTCCGATTTCACAAGATTTTCTACTCGTGTATTTGTTAATTTGTTATCCATTAAATGTATATGTGTGAGCGATCTATCGAGTATACCGTTCTTAGTAAATTCTCGAATTATTATTTACCATCCCGGTAGGAAACTCCCACATAATTGGTGACCCCGACGAAGAACAATGTCGAGCGATAAGAAATTNCCAGAAGAGCCGGCATTATGGTTCGCCCAATTGAGGGCCAATTTGTGATTAGTGGCATAACAGCTGATGCAACAAAATTTTACCACGTGATTGCTCAACTGGATCACCTTTACGCTACTGAGGTCAAGGATATAATTACATCCCCACCACCGGAGGACAAATACGGGAAGTTAAAGGCCGAGCTAATCAAGAGACTTTCTGCTTCACAGGAAAAAAAATTAAAACAACTTCTTATGCACGAAGAACTCGGAGACCGTAAGCCATCCCAATTTTTGAGACATTTACAGACGCTAGCAGGACCGACGATACCCGACAGTTTTTTGCGTACGCTGTGGTCTAGCCGTTTACCGCAGAATATCCAAACGGTAATTGCTTCGCAACCTGATATGCCACTTGAAGTTATCGCAGATTTGGCGGACAAAGTAAATGAAATCGCACCGACGACGCACGTGGCGGCGAGCGGTAGTACGACACGGCCATGTTTAGCGAGATGCCCACCAGATTGCGGCATTGACACGGGAGGTAGCCTCACTAAAAATGCAGGTACATTCTTCTAGAAATTACAGTAGGTCAAGTTCGCACGAGAGGAATAGGAGACCTAGTCGCAATAGATCTAAATCTAGGCAAACGCAATCCGAATATATGCTGGTACCATAGCCGTTTCGGCAACCGTGCAACCAAATGCACAATACCGTGTAAATTTACGGAAACGTCGGAAAACGCCACGGGCAGCCGGAACTAGCGGCGAACGACTGCCCTCACAGACCAGCCCGCTTATTTATTACTGATTGTTATACTAAAATGTCTTTTCTTGTTGACACAGGATCTGATCTTTGCGTTTACCCACGGTCCGCAGTGAAACAGAACCGCGCAAAGATGGAGTACCAGCTGTTTGCAGCAAATGGAACCTCAATTGCAACGTACGGGTACATCCACTTGCAGCTCAACTTTGGTTTGCGCCGTGCTTTTAACTGGAGATTTGTTGTCGCTGACGTGTCAAAAAGCAATAATTGGTGCTGAATTTTTCAAATTTTTTAACTTACTTGTAGATTTGTGGAACTACCGCTTGATCGACGGCCTGACAAACCTGTCTACAGTAGCAACATCTGCGGCCCACTCAGTAGACATTGCATCAATCAAGGGCTGTGTCTGGGGATACCGTGTACCATCAACTTCTCCGTGAGTATCCTGATATTACACGACCTGCTGGAACTCAACACGTAATCAAGCATACAACGGTGCACTACATCCGTACAAACACCTGGTCCACCTGTGACAAGTCGTCCAAGACGTTTACCACCTGACCGACTAAAAATTGCTATGAAGGAGTTTGAGGAAATGCTCGCTAATGGCACTGCTCGCAGATCTGAAAGCGCGTGGTCATCAGCTCTTCATCTCGCGCCCAAAAAAGAAAATGGTTTGGAGACCATGTGGGGACTACCGTGCTCTTAATGCTCGTACCATCCCGGATAAGTATCCAATCCGCCATATCCAGGATTTCTCACATGCTTTAACAGGTACCACCATTTACTCAAGATCGATTTAATCAAAGCGTTTAATCAAATACCAGTCCATCCTGATGATATACCCAAAACTGCTATTACTACACCATTTGGACTATTTGAATTCAAGTTTATGAATTTTGGATTGCGCAACGCCGCGCAAACCTTCCAGAGATTCATAGATGAAATGCTCATGGGCCTACCATTTGCTTATGGATTCTTAGATGACATCTTGATTTTCTCCAGGAGTGAATCTGAGCACATCCAGCATCTCAGGCAGCTTTTTCAACGTTTGGCAGACCACGGCATGCTTGTCAATACAGCGAAATGTGAATTTGGTAAGACACACATAACCTTTCTTGGTCATGACGTATCAGCTGATGGCATTCGCCCTCGTCCAGACAAAGTACAGGCGATACAAGACTACCCAGTCCCAAAAACTGTGCGAGAAATGCGGAGATTCTTGGGTATGTACAACTTTTACCGCCGTTTCATACCCGGAGCAGCAGAACTACAAGCTCCACTAAACGTCGTGCTAACTGGATCTAAGACAAAGGCATCGCAAAGTATAGTTATGACTCCAGAAATGTTAAATGCGTTTATCAGTTGCAAGTCCAGTCTCTCAACAGCTACTATGCTCTGTCATCCTGATCCAGACGCCGAACTGGCTGTTTTCACCCGATGCATCAGATACATCTATCGGTGCAGCCCTCCAACAACGATGTGGTAAAGTATGGAAACCTCTCGCATTCTTCTCTAGACGCCTAACTTCTGCACAGAAGAAATACAGTCCGTACGACCGTGAACTTCTAGCCATCTACGACGCTATTAGGCACTTTAGGCATATGGTCGAGGCTAGACCATTTAAAGTTTTTACCGATCACAAACCACTGACGTTTGTTTTTTTTCATAACCGTGAGAAATGCTCTCCTAGGCAATTTCGTTACCTGGACTTCATATCTCAGTTCACCACAGATATTCGGTACATTAAAGGCCAGGACAATGTAGTTGCAGATGCTCTCTCGCGTATAGAGGAATTGTCCAAGCCGATAGATTATCAAGCCCTTGCAGACGCTCAAGATCACGATCCTGAACTGCAAGAGCTATTGGAAAAAGGAACATCTTTGACGCTCAGAAAAGTCAAGACTTCAGATTCCGACACGGACATATTCTGCGATGTGTCTACTTCAATCCCTCGCCCATTTATCACAACCGCCTTCAGAAAATCAATTTTCAACGCACTTCATGGGTTGAGCCATCCAGGTGCAAAGGCCACTATAAAACTAGTGACGGAGAGATTTATCTGGCCTGGAGCAAAGAAAGATTGCCGACAATGGGCCAGAGAATGCACAGACTGCCAGAAAAGTAAAGTTTACCGCCATACCCAATCACCCACCTCTCCTTTCCCTATTCCCTCACAAAGATTCTCCCATATCCACATGGACATAGTAGGACCGTTACCTATTTCTTGTAGTTTCAGATACTGCCTCACGGTCATCGATCGCTTCACTCGTTGGCCTGAGGCATACCCCATAGCCGACATCACTGCAGAGACCTGTGCGCGCGCCTTCATCGCTGGCTGGGTTTCCCGCTTCGGCTGTCCTCACAAGATAACCACCGATAGAGGCAGGCAGTTTGAGTGCGAGCTGTTCCGCACTATGTCTGGCATCCTGGGCGTACAGCATCGTCATACTACCGCCTACCATCCGGCTTCCAATGGCATGGTAGAACGTCTCCACCGCCAAATGAAAGCAGCCATCATGTGCCATAGGAACACCGGTTGGACGGAAGTTCTTCCCCTGGTACTGCTGGGTATCCGCAGCGCCTTCAAAGACGACATCAAGGCTTCGGCGGCAGAGCTGGTATACGGTGAGCCACTCCGACTCCCGGGTGAGTTCTTCGCACCCAACACTGATACTATACCTGATCTCACAAGTTTCATGTCACGACTCCGTCTACACATGGCCAAGCTGACCCCAGAACCTGCAAGTCGACATACTCAGAAAACCTTCTACGTGCCTAAAGACCTGTCTACTGCAGAGTATGTATTCCTTCGCAACGACGCTGTACGGCGTTCTCTCGAACCTCCGTACAGCGGGCCCTATAAGGTACTGGAAAGAGGCGACAAAAACTTACAAGCTGTGTATCAACGAGCGTGAGACGACTGTATCCATCGACCGTCTAAAAGCAGCGTACATGGCACGAGACGACACCAGTCCCACACCTGCAGACACCACTGCACCAACGGCAGCCACAGACCCAACTAGGAAGACAAGATCTGGTCGCATAGTTCGCTTCCCGGACTACTATCGACCTTAGCTAGCTTCGGTCTCAGCGGGGGAGTAGTGTAGGCAACTTCCAATTTAATTTTAAATTTATTTAAATTGTTATTTAATTTGTAGTGTTTTTAATTATTAATATTGATTTGTAATTATTCTAAATTCACCATAACAATTGTTTAATGTCACATTTATAATTAGCCGAGTAAAGCCAAATGCTTTGATATAGCTTAGTATAATCGTTTTGATGCAGACTGTACGGAACTATGTATTAACAACGCGTTATGTACTTCGGGCCGGCTGCTCATTACGCTGCGCTCGCGCCGGCAGTCGGTTCCATAGTCCCACGGCGAAAGCACGTCCGATTTCACAAGATTTTCTACTCGTGTATTTGTTAATTTGTTATCCATTAAATGTATATGTGTGAGCGATCTATCGAGTATACCGTTCTTAGTAAATTCTCGAATTATTATTTACCATCCCGGTAGGAAACTCCCACATATTTATATATATAAAGTTTTATGTTGTTTTGCCATAAAATACGAAGGATGGTTGCTCTCAGTTTTAAGTTTCCAGTTGATATAATTCATGTTATTTTGTATCATTTATGTGATCCTCACCAGTAACAACTTCTGAGGTTTTATGCGTGACGTCAGGAGTAGTGCTTCGTGTCATTTCTTCGTTCAATTCGGGAGTTATCGGCAGCGCTGAGGCGGCGATCTGGGAAACGCAAGTTATCAATTTAATTAATTTATTGATCTCGCCTAATACAATAACTACAAAAACGTTTAATCTTTTGTTAACATTTAGGTTTATATTGTAACATTTGTCGTTAACATAATAATTGATTAAATGGGTTCGTTATATTTATAATTAACAAGTATATATATATATGTAATGTTTTACTGAATGTAGTAATATATACCTATATACATTTTATATATGTTTTATTTGTGTATAAAATCTGCTAATAATAGCAGATTTTTATAGATATTTTAATGTTTCTTATATTTACGCGATACGCATTAATAAGGAAACTATGTTAACTGATTTATCGCGTTTATTTTTAGTTTTATTCCTATATCTACTTCTGTATATAGTTCCCAACGTTTCATATCTTTTACAGCTTAAATGTTCAGGTCAAAGACAGAGGCGTTGGACGTCTAAGTGTCTTTGTTAGTCTGGGCTACCACCCGCAACAAAATTATAATTTTTTTGTATCGTTACGTGCTAATTATACCTTATCTTGCAGTAGTGGTTGGTTTGGGCCTAGATTTAATTTTATTAATAATAGGGTCCCAAGCCGATAGTGGCATTAGGATGCTTTTTAATTTGAAATTAAAGCCTGACGAATAATCGTTGGGAGGAGTCGGTGTTCTTTTTTAAGGATCTGTGGTCTATCAAACCTGATGTAGTGATTGGGGCGATTTAAGATGTGCTCACAGACTGCAGACTTGTTTGATCTATGTATTATTATATGTTTCTTCACGCGGGTTTTAATGGCTCTTTTTGTTTGTCCTATGTAAGGAACAAAGCTAATAAATATATGGTGCGGTGTTTGCGTTAATGTAAGGAATAATTGTAAGGAAATATTTCTTTAATATATTTAATGGGGATTTTTTTTCTATCTCATCGGGCATATTGTATATTTCCATTATCGGACAACTAGGCGTTGGGCGGGGCTCCCTTATGCTGTCGACGTTCCACCTACAAGAAGAAAGCGATTCGCTCCGTCATTTATCATCGGTACAGCTAAGGAATGGAATAACATGCCGATGTCCATCTCTCCGTCCGATTACAACGTAGGCGTCTTCAAGGCACGAGTGAATAGGTTTTTACTGAGTTAGCGCGCTTACCATCAACGGATGCATCGCCACTTACTATCAGGCAGTCAATTGTTGCCCAGTGTTAATTTACTATATATACAACGTGTCGTTACCACCGCGACAATAAATGAACACACATATAGAGGATAACTTTTTAAAATTGTATTAAACGTTTACATTCTTTAAACATCAATATTTAGTTAGTGAGTTATTAAATTTTCCAAAACAAACAATTTTAGAACATCCTTACGTATGAAACTGTAATGTTCATTAGTAAAGGTCACAAAGCATATGAATGGGTTGAATGAATTTAAAAGAGACAAAACATACTGTTAGAAGGAGAGGCTTGTAATGCGACGCTGTGGCGCGAGTTGTATAGGATGTTACAAATTTTGTTCCTTTTTACTTAATTAGTTTGTTTGAAAAATATATTTTTTTTAATTGTGGATTTTGTTTAACGTTAATATATTTTTATGATTACTGGCAAGTATATATATATATCAATGGTACCTGGTTGGTCTTCTTCCGTCGTGGAGCGCCGTGCGTCCTCCGCGGGCGCACCGCCATCTTGTGGCGAGCGGCCGAGTGCGACAATGGCGCGACGCCCGAAGGCGGCTCCGAGACATCTGCGAATCGCAAACGTTCTACAATATTCGTCGATAGGGTGCGCTGTAAGCATCACGTTAGCGAAATGCCATTCATATAGGATAGAGGTAACAGTCGTCGTCGAAAAGAGTCAAATTTGTGGCGCTGCAGTAGCATATGGGTTACTAGACAGTGGTTAATTAATAGTTAATCTGGTTATTGGAGACAGAGCCGTTAAGTGCTGACTTATCACGTGCACCGCGGTGAAGGAAAACATTGTGACGAAACCTGCATATTTTCCAAATAATAACAAAAATATATATATTTATATTTCGAAGATATGTGAAGTCCGACAATCGCCACTGTCGATTGACTATGCTCGCGGCCGCGCGGCGGACTATGCTCTGAAACCCTCTGTATAGAAGAGGCCTTTGCCCAGGATTTAGGATAGAGGTAACAGTTGTCGTCGAAATAAATTAAATTACCAAATAAATGAAAACACGAAATAAATTGAAATTATTACAATGAAAATCTTTGATTGAATTAATCCCGGGACAGGACTTTACTAAAACCCCCTCACGGCAGAGTTTGTAAGCCGTCGCGGTACATGTTTTCGTTTAGTCGTTTTGGAGCGACAATAACGCTTCCATGTTTTATTTGCGTTCACTGCATTCACAAAGAAATATGCATAATTACAATTACTTCCACATTACATTTGCCTCCTGGGAGGGCGTGGTAATTACCAAAATGGACTAACATGCTAACTCGTGCAACAGCGTAAATTATTGTCTAGCTGTAACTACAATGAAAACTTAATGCTAATTAAGGTCGACTTATTAAGGTTGACCTCTCTTTGTCCACCGCTAACTATCTGTCTACCGTTTAGAACGAGAAGGGTATCAATGAGGTATTAAGTGTATGTAAGTGTCGAGGTATTTGTATTAAGTGGCGGTTTCCAATTCAATGGCTTACTTCGGGGGTCGTGGGTTCAATTCTGTAACGAGGTAACTATCTGTGTGACCCACGGATAATTGTTTCGGACCTTGGCTGGCCCACGTGAAATTTATGTATGTAACGTCACAGGATAATGTTGTCAATTTGAATGACAATTTTTTGAAAAAAAAAAGAATTGTTTTTATTTCAATAAACGATTGTACTACCGAGTCTGAACCTCCTGTGTGAATTTAGGCACCTTTAGAAAAACCACCCTGTATATAGTAAATATCCTAGGTCACTGGGACATACTACCAACCCCTTCCGCGCAAAATACAAAACGTAATTATTAGAGTTGTAATCCTTTACTCACTGTAGACGTCGGAGTGGTCGCTCCTGGCGGAGTGGTCGTGGGAGTGGTGGTGACCACTGCTGCTGTCCTCGTCCATCTCCGAGGAGCCAACGCTGAGCAGCGAGCCATCGCTGCACGACGACTGGGAGATGCCGGCATGATGCCTCTGCAAACGACGGCGCGCCGATTATTAAATCGAGCTTTGAAACAAGTCTATTTTTATTGACGAAAAACAAAACGGTATTCAAATATCCCGCTCCGTATTCATTTTATAATTGATTTTTGGAAGTCCCTTAGGTTTCTCTGGAGCCAAGATCCAATGCCAATGAAGCAACAGCTTTCAAATAAAAAAAAATAATCATCAAAATCGGCCCACTCACTCGAAAGTTCTGAGGTAACCAACATAAAAAAAATACAGTCGCATTGATAACCTCCTCCCTTTGAAGACGGTTAAAAAATGTTAAAATAATGGACAAAAACATTCGCTGTGGGTTACATCTTCAGTGCGGAGATAGGCACTATAAAAATTTTAAATTTCGAGCTAGCATGCTACAAGGTCAAAACGAGAGAGAGATAGATGCGTAAGTGCACAATAACAGAGGGAGAAAGAGAAGAGGTACGAACAATATGGCGTCACTCACATGGCATTTCTAGACAACAACAGACAAATTATTTTGAAACACAAATAACTTGAATACTGAAAGTTAGTAATATAATAAACGACTTGAAAGTGTTGAACTGGAAACTCAGTATAGAGTATCAATTCATGAAGTTATACTACTTTTGGCGGTAATTTTTTTACGATGCGCTCCAAAAATGCATCGGCATTTAACTAACTTCACAGTATTACCATGGCTACCAATATCAACTTTTTAATTTCACCTTTAATTCAAAACAAGAGTACACGGGATAAAATTTTTAGCTATTTTTCTTTTTTCACGAAACAAAGACCCGAATTCATTAATTAGCCATAAAATTTTGTGCCTAGTTTCATAACGAGACGTACTCGATTGTTTTAACGAAATTACTTTACGCAAGATGAAACGTGTTCAACAATATTACTGCAAGGAACACGATACTATTACAAATCATCATGTAACACTTGATGTAACGTAGAACACTTCTTTAAGCATCATTTTTTACTTCATTACGATAATTGAAAATTTACGTAAATAATCTTGTTAGGGGATATACGATCAAGATTATATCACCTAAATGATTAAAGCAAAATATTCTATGGAACAAATTAATGAGATCGACTTGGTAAGCTTTGAGACAGTCTAAAGATGAATACTAATAAAAAATACCAGATACGATGACTAGATGGCGCAGTTTGCTAAGCTATTGGCTTCTGCAACGGTGGCTGTGGGTTCGATTCCCATTAGAGACGACTATGTTTGACTCACAGATAATTATTCCGGATGTTTCTGGGAGTTTCTTCCGAAAGAGGGTTGAAGTCGGGCAAGCAGCAGGTCGTTGAATATCTAGCCAATACAATTGACAACAAGAATAACATGTTGTTCCGACCCCTTTTTTCCTTGCAAATTTTTTATTCTAAAAATCGTTGAGCTCGTTATTTTTCAAGTCCGTGGTTATAACACTAAAAATGAACAAGTCGACAAACGAACCTTAATGTTGGCACTAATCTGCCTCCTCCTCGGCGGGCGGCGAACCGGCACTTCCCCGGTACTCGTCACGTAAAGCATCATTTTGAAACGAGCATCGATAACTTCACGCACAACACTATTATATTTACACAGTCCTTACATTGTCTGTGGACCTCTTGACGCATGTCACTTTTACACCATTTTGTCATAAAAACCTAAAAGTATGTATCTCTTTTAAAATGTATTATAGATTAACTAGTCGCGATCTGCAGTTCCGTTCGTTCGACTTGTATTCGCCTTACCAAAATTACGTCAATTAGTGTAATTAGATTGAAATTCTATAGACTACTATCTCGCTCTATACGCACATTCATTTATATATGTCATAAATCGGAATAATTTTTAAACTCCGTCTAGTATGTCCATACTAGATAGGGTTTAAAAATTATGCCACACGTCCATGCGTCAGCTTTATTAAAACATCATCGTGTAGTTTTACACCGTTATCGTGTATTGTAAGAACGTTTGTCCGTACACCTTAATGTTAGCCTACAATAAGAGGATAACTTTAAAAAAAATGGTAAATTGTGTGGTCTGTTAAAGCGGTATTATTAAAAAAAAACAAATCTAGTGTTACACAGCATTGACATACTGTGTAATGCAAGATTTGGAGGTTGCTTGCGCTAACATACAAAATATCGGACTTCTTTATATAAATTTGGCTAAAATCTATTATCACTTTAGATTATGATACAGTTTTTTTATACCTTTAATATACTAAGTCAGGTAGTCAGGGGTCGTGGGGTCGATTTCCACACGGGACAACTATTTGTGTGACCCAAAGATAGTTGTTTCGCATCTGGGTGTTTGTCTGCGTGAAATTTATGTTTGTAAAATATCATTACAACGCAGGATAATATTATCCTAAAGTAATGGAAATTAAAAAAAAAAATACTAATTTACATTTTCGGTTCAATACATTATGTAATTCCAGGAACGAGACGATCGATGAAATTGTCTTTCTATAGCGCAAAGTGTAGCTTAATCTCCAACAACAATGATCATTAGAATATTAATGTTAACACGGGAGATTATTGAAGATATTTTATACTCAAAAGTGTATGGACATAACTACACGACGCGTCAAGTGCGTATTCTGGTAGAGTGCTAAGCTGCTTACCCTGTTGCTGTCAGGAGTGACGTCTGCACGAGTTTGAATGTATGAACTTATATCGAACCTTTAAATCGAACACAAAAAGGACGTTAGCACAACTCTAACCTGTCCAAATGCAATATCAACCCGAACTCGATAACGGGTAAGTCGATCTGTCTTGACGATAACGCTTGTAGAACTCGTTTCGTGACAACTCACGGCAATGTGGTGCTTGAAACCATTACATTTGGATACATAATTGCGTGCGCGACTTAGGACAATGAGAACAGCGTTTGTGATGAATGTGGTAACGCTCAAAATAGCGCAGTTCACACGAGAACAGATCTTTGTGCCGATGCCGTAAGCGGGTAGTAGCAAATTCAAATAACTTTATTCAATACTAGCTGTGCCCGCGACTTCGTCCGCGTGGAATTTAAAATAAAAGTAGCCTCAGTTACTCCTTAATACATCAGGTATCTGCCAGTCCCGTCCAAATCGGTCCAGTCGTTTCAGAGATTAGCCCCAACAAACAGACAGACAGACAGACAAAATATGTAAAAAAAACTTATTTTGGTATATGTACCGTGTATATATCCATATGCATTTAGTAAAAAGCGGTTATTTTAATATTACAAACAGACACTCTAATTTTATTTATCTGTATAGATGTATAGATAGAAGCATTACACTTACTTATTGAATTGTAAATGAACACTACTACCAGTTCGGAAAACGAAAAGCACAGTAGGAACAATAATTGTTGCTAAACGCATCATTCGAAGCGTCTTAGTCTGTGTTTATTGTCTAAGCTACTAGCTGACCCGGCAAACGTTCTTTCGCCATATAAATTATTTGTAGGGTAGAAAAAATGTTGGGGTGGACCACCCTAAACATTTAGGGGGATGAAAAAAAGATGTTGTCCGATTCTCCAAGTCCTAATCCTTCCTGGCCGATATGCACACAAAGTTTCACGAAAATCGGTCGAGCCGTTCCCGAGGAGTTCAATTACAAACACCGTGACACGAGAATTTTATATATTAGATATAAGCAGGAGTATAACACTTCTTGCTACTTATTCAATAGCGAAGACTTGCGTGGCCGTAACACGAAGATCATTTGTATATTTTGTTTATCGTACTATCGTTTTAAATAACACATAGAACGCTATCCTAAATTCTAAAGGTGTGCCACATGTAAGTACATTAGGCGTACACAAATATTTGCTGACAAATGGAGGTTTTTACGCAAAATGGACCCAACCCACACATGTCAAATACTGTCAAAAGCGTCACTGCGCATCAAGTTAATGCCAAATAACCTAAGTCATAAAATAACATTTCCTCTCGCAAATATCACAGCGTTGAGAATCCAAGAATTCTTTTTAAGTAGGTATATACTTTTTATAAATCCATATTTCCCTAGGTAGTCAAAAGCGTCAGTGGTGGTTTTTTTTTAATTTTCTGTAATATATATTTTACCATGCTGGCAATGTCCCAAATATATCCTATTATGAGAATAGTGAGTTCTCCATAATTACGACCAACTGTTCATATATTTTTTATTCTTTTTTCTTTTAAAAACATTGTCCTAACTTTGGGATAACATTATCCTGTGTTGTAAGGACGTTATTACAAACATAAACTTCACGCGGACAAACACCCAGATGCGGAACAATTATCTGTGGGTCGCACAAATAGTTGTCCCGTGTAGGAATCGAACCCCAGACGCCGAAGCCGATACCTTGGCCACTGCGCCACGGAGTCATCAAATATATAACAATAAACACTAGAAACGCTAGTGATTTCCTAGTTTTAATGCATTTTTAATAACTTGTATTAAGTAAAAATTATGATAATTATACATTAATAATGTTACATACTTATTATATGTGTACTATTTCTTAAACAAAATTTGTGATAAAAGACAATTAATCGGTTCTTTCATACGAAGCATTGCATCCATCATAGTTTGCAACAAAAATAATCGCAATAGAAATAATCAATTTCATATGTTAAATAAAATGTTGCCTATTTTTTTAAACCTGCCGGAAAACGGGTCAAAACAAGACAAGCTACTAGAAGTGAATTGTTCAACCAGTACCAAACGGTACATTTTAAAACAGAGACGGCGGAGATTAAATTGATTGACGTCCCCGCATTGAAATACGTGGAGTTATGGAGTGTTTTACATACGCGATAACGCTTATCGGCGGGCTATCGGCTAGCGCGATGCTATCTTGTATCGGCGACATTGGCAATGATATCGAGTGCATTAAACGGGCCGAAGCTATTGGGCATTATTGGGGCACTTAACAGGTCTTATGAGGTGCCGAGTGTAATTACGTGTAGCCTTGCAAGCAATCGATCGCGCTCACAGTTTTTTTATGTGAGAAGGAAACGAGTTGTC